ATACACAACAACGACAACTATGGAAGAAAGAGATAAAGAGCTCTGCTGGTACAGGGCATTGCACACTGGACTTCCAATTAAAAGGTAAGTTGTTCAAGTCCATCAGCAGAAGCTAGCACTATGAGCTGAGGGGAAAAAGATGAGCGGTCCCTTCCATAAAGATTTACAACCTCAGAAACCAGATGGAGAGTGGCTGTGACTATGATTTCATTCTATAGCCATGGGGTTTGGCATGGAGGAGGAGGAGAAGATCCTATGAAAGTGGCAAGGGAACTCTGAGGACAAAGCATTACTCAGGGCTCTCAATAATGACTTGGCCAGGTACTGAATACGAAGAGCTTTCTAGAGAGAAGACAAATCCTGAGTCAGGTCCTGTGAAGAGAGGGAGCATCCCTCCTAGAGGAACTCCAAACAGCCAGCAGGGCTGGAGAACAGGCCAGAGGAAGGAAGGGCATGGGCTGGAGAGTGAATGGCCTTGCAGACCTTATTACAGCTTTTGTAATCCTTCCTGGTCTTCATGGGTAGAGGCTTTTTCTCTGCTTCTCTTCACATCCACTGCTGTGTCTATTCCTATAACCAGGTAACCTAACGAATTTCCATCTGGTTAACGCCAACTTAAGGTGACCCTAATGTGTATCAGAATTGAACTAAGCTCCATCGTGGCTAATTTTAGGAAGTAGGTAACCAGGGCTTTCTTGTACAGCACCTCTAGTGCACATAACCTTTTACCCTTTCGGGTAGCAGTTAAGAGCATTCATTGTTTGCACAGTAAATGTTTGTGGAATCGGTGAGACTGCCGAGTCCCAAAGTCCCTGTGTTTCTGGAGCCCTGGATCTACTATTTTAAAATTTTGATGAGTCGTTTCCATGTAATGTCAGCTGAGATTGAATTGCATACATAGATTTGCTTTGGGAGATGTTTAAAGAAGTGATAGTGCTGCTATTTGAAACAGAAGATTCACTTCTGCACACAAAGGCAGAACTCAGATACTCACTCCCCAATCCTGGTCCCCTCTGAATGAGTGTGCAATGAACATGCAGCACCAAGCTAAACTGGATTAGCTAGAACACAGTCATAGCTGCTGTCCTTTTCCTGATTATGAACCTTGGCTGGACAAATTATTTCTCTTCTCTGAGCATTCATTGCTTCACCTAAATGGAATAATAAAAGTAGTCATTTTATAATGTTCTTGTGAAGTTAAAGTATTTATCTTGTTATAGTAAGCAGAACATAACTAATGACCTATACACGGCAATACATTTATTCATTCTTCCTAATATTACTGTTATCTAGTTACACACATATACTCACGCATACACACACACGCCTAAACTCTGAGCATCTGAATCCAGTCTCAGATCCTGCCCAAGTTTCAGTCAAAACCCTGCCGACATCCCTGGTCATCTTTCCTGGCAGGTGGATTCTGAGTCTTCTGTCTGAGGTTTCCAGCACCATGAAACTTCCCCAGCTAGTCTTTCTGCCAGCATTTTGCCTCCTTAAAGCACTGATTGATGCGAAGGCCCTGGGCGCCCTCTGCTGGCGGAGGTTACAAATAACGTATGCCTGTGGCACAAGCAGCAGCCTGGGGCCAAAGCCCAGACATGGTCCTGGGTCTTTGTGGTTGCTGTTTTGCCATTCAGTGCTTCATACTCAGGTCCTTCCCTTCCAGACTTCCACAATGCCCACCCTTCTCTATCTTCTTCCTTTTTCTCTTACTGCCCTTATACTTCCCTTGTCCAAGGAGGTGCCCTCTGTCCTGAGGTGCCCACTGTTGCCTCCTGTTGTCCTGGGGTCAGAGTTACTAAGAGCTATGCCTGCCATCTCCAGAGGGAAGAGACAGGAGGTGAAGGGCATTGGGGCAGAGAGGATGGTATTATCTCCCTCCAATGCAATTTAAAAAAAGAAAAAGTAACACAATTTCTAATGGAGACAATGCCTCCCCCCACCCCCCGTGGTAAAAGAAACTATAACCTTGATCTTTCTTCTGTAATTCACTAAGAAAGATCACATTAGTTCTTGGAGCCTCCAATTCCTCAGTGGTTAAACATGGAAAGTAAACATGCCTGTCTCCTGGCATTGGTGAGGAGTTATAGTGAGATCACACAGGTGGGTGGTCTCATCGTAGAGACCCACTGCCTCCCAGGTTCGGCCATCCACAGACCTTCAGCACCAGAAGAGGTGGACAGAGCATGCGCTCAGGAGACTGGCGAATCCTGTCCTTGCCATGTGACCTTGACTAGTTGCATAACTAATTTGTGTGTCTCTTTCTCTTTCTTTTAAGTGAAGATCACAGCAACACCTACCCCAAAGGGTGGTGCTGAGGACTCATGTTAAGTAGGGGGAATAGTACCTGGTTCATAACAGGTGCTCAATAAAAGGCTAATCTTAGGATTATTGTCATTTCATTTAGGCTGGCTAAGTAGTGATAACTTGCTTCTGTCCAGTCAGCTGCCTCATTGCTGACCCTCCAGTGGGTTTCTGAGGCTGGGAATCACACAGGGAGAGATTGCCCATCTTCCTCCCACCAAGCCACTGGTAGATTCAAACTGCCAGAGAGCTACTATCCCTATAGACTAAGCCTCCAGATCTCCCTGAGTAGCTATGGTGTTGTTATCATGTGCTTTTGAGTCAGAACCAAGCTGACTCCAGCAGTTTTCAGAGGCAGTAAATTGTATGGGAGTAGATTGCCCATCCTTCTCCCTCGGAGCAGATGGTGGATTTGAACTTGTCTTTGGGATTGTAGTACCGCTTCTTACCACGAGGCCACCAAGGCTCCCTATTGTTATGAATATATAGTAAAAGTTTTTTTCAAATATTGTTTATATGTATTTTCCCTCAAATTTATAAAATAAACAAATAAGTGTTGTCCTATGAAATCAAACGTATGTCGCTTTGAGAAAACAGCAGTGTCTATAACTGAGTAGCTGTAGTGGTCCCCGTTTTACAAATGCAAAAATTGAGGCTTGAGTGGTTTGCTTGAGGTCCCACAGCTGGGGCGTGATGCTGGCAGAATGGAGCTCCCGGCTTCAGTTCCATCACCACTTCAGCATTAAGTCAAGCCTCCAAGCACAGTGTGTGCACAGTGTGTGTGAGCTGGATGACTAGGACGTGGAGAAGATACTCACCCGGCTCTGTCTTTGAGGGAAGTTGCAATCTCGATAGCCCCTTCATGAGGGAGACATACGCAGTTCGGTCTTTAGATCCTGGCTGCTGTTAAGGTATCTTGGCACTTCCATCAGTCCTGCCCAACCAAGCAAACTGTCTTTTCATATTCACATTGCTGTTCCACACTCCCGGGTTTGCAGACAAACCAGAAGCCAACCACAAATACCTAGGGAGAACCCATAATTACATGCACACACAGACATAAACAAGTATGGCTCCACAGACAGACCTGCTCACACGCACAGAGACACAGAATAGCATGTGTAAATACACAAGTGCAGACAGTACCTGCACTGGCAGACCTCCCCAGTCCCAGTCCCAGCCCCTCAGCCCATGGGCTCTTCATCCTCCTGATCAAGGGCACCAGGTTCCCTACAGACCTCAGTTCAAATCCCAGCTCTAGCACCTATTGACTTTGAGCCTTGTTTTTTTCATTATAATGAAAGTAAAAGAGCTATCTTGAAGGATAGTTGTGAATATGAAATACTAAAACGTTCGTAAAGTGATAAGCATAGGAAATGATAAACATTTCACAAACAACAGAGATGGCATTAATGGTGATGAGGGTGATGTCCATGATGGCCCCTGCTCTGGACACTAATCTTGTTCAGCATGATTACGCATGGCCACGCATGGAAAAGGTGCTCACTAAATGAATGAGTAAATGCTGAGGTTTACAGATTCCTGGGGTGGGTGGAAGGAAGTGAAATACAGGAAATCCATCCAGGCCAAGTGATGATGGTTTTTAGAGCCACTTCTGAAGTTCCCGAGGTCCAGGCTTCACTTCAACATTGCATATTCTTATTTTCTTCTTTCTGACTTTAAAAATAAAAAAGAATAAGCATCTTCCCCTATTTGTTCTCCTCTGCATCCTCCTCTCTGGATTGTCATGAGTGTCACTAACACCGGGATTCTCTGAGAATAAACGAGCATCAAAAGTCAGATTTTAATATAGAAATGCCCTTGATAGCGTGTTTTCTGCTTGTATGCCACTGCTAAAGGAAGACTCACCACCTCTCTTAACAGGCTGTTGCCTTGTTAGGCAGGTCTCTTGGCTGGAAGATGGAATCCTCGCTCTCTACGATGAACCATCAACTATAACCCTCTAAAAATTACTCAGGCTTCTGTCCCCTGGAGTCACCCAGAAAGTATGTTTCTCTTCTCTGCGTGGCCCCACTGGAACTTATTAGGCTCAGGAAAAGTAGGGAATTTGAATCTAACCCATAGTTTTTTCTTGAAGCAAATAATTTCGTGATACAGGCCTCAATTTCCCCATCTGTAAAAGGAAGGATTTTGTCTAGAATATCTCTGAGGGCACTTCAGCCTCAATGACAAAAAACCAATCCACTACTTCCTCTTTTGTTTCCACTATTATTAGCCCTTTTCTCCAACTTAACCTTGGCCTCTCTTCTTCAAGCTGTTGATGCTGTTGATGCTGTTTCCAGTTCCCTAAAATCCTTGTTCACCATTGTCACTGTGTACGCAGAGGGAGAGTCAGTGTCTCCAGCAATCAGCAGCCTTGTCATTAAATCATTACAACAGCTCTGATATGTAAGTCTCATCTCATAGACAAAGAGACTGAGGCTCCAGGAATGACGGGGGCTTGTTCAAGATCATTTGGTCCCTAAGTGGCAGGTTGGCACCCCAGCTTGTGTGAGTCCAGAACCTGTTGTGAACTCCCATGTTGTTAGAACATTCAGGGAGGCAGGGGCACCTGTGGGGTTCCATCACCTGCCAGTTCTCTGTCCTGACACAGGTTACCTCCTCCCTGGCTTGCAGCCCCCCGAGCAGCCCCCGACTCCTTGTTTTGGCAGTCTGTCTGCTCCTCTCCACAGGGAGAACAACTTCATCAAGGACTTCCCCCAGCTGGCGGACGGGCTGCTGGTGATCCCGCTGCCGGTGGAGGAGCAGTGCCGGGGGGTCCTCTCTGAGCCCCTGCCAGACCTCCAGCTGCTTACTGGTAAGACCCACCATGCGGGGCCCTCCGTCTCCCTTCCTTGCATGCCCATCGTCACAGCAGATCCACGATGTGGGCCAGTTCCCTGTGCGCGCGGTGGGGTGGGCCAGGAGCCTGCCATTCCTTGGGCTTCTGCTACAACCTGTGCTGAACTAGGGGCTTCCCTGAGATTCACACTGTGCAGAGAGGTCATGGGGGGCTGGGGAGGTCTTGATCTCTGTGTGTCCAAGTCCCAATACATTTTTTGGTCTTGTTCATTGGCAATTTCATGACTTTCAATGTCTTGTTTTTCTCCCATTTGCCGTATTTTGTTTTGCTGGTTTATCTGTTAGTCATTCGAAAGCAAAATAGTGGACTCCTCAAACTTAAACCTCTCCACCTTGAGCAGAACCTTAGTTACCCAGCTTGCTTCTGAGTCATTACATCCATGTGATAGGCGAGGGTTGGAGTCTCTTCAAGGAAAAAGCACTGGTGTTAGGTGACACAGAAACTCTGTCAGGAGTCACTTTGGGGTGCCAGGCCTCAAATCTTTTCTTTTGACATTCATCTTTGCAGTCTTCCCGCCTGCCCCAGACCTGTCTGTCTTATGATGATGCTACAGGCAATAGACTTTTATGTTGCCGCAGTCTTTCTGTCCTATCCCAGGACATGCTTCTGCTTCTTCTTGTCTTACACTAGTTCTTCTCCTACCATTTTTCTTGGAGACTTTCCGAAGCTGTAAGGGCCCTGGACCTGCCTTCGTAATATAGTAGATCACTCTTTTTCAGGGGAGAATGGATGAGAGATGGTGAAGCTCTCTCCCCTCAGAGAATTATCCTCCAGGCGGGCCCCTGCAATGTGGCAGAGTTAGATATAAACCTAATGCTTAGTGCCAGGAGATCAGGGGTGCGTGAAGTCTCCATGGCCTTTCCTATGGAAAGTTAATGGAGGTTATATATGCAGACTAGTTAGCACATGCCAGTGTTGTGGACTCAATTTCGACTAGCAGTGACCCTCCACCAGCTTTCCTAGGCTATACGTTTTTTAAAATATTTTAATTTATTTATTTTTCATTTCAGTGAACATCTACAGAGATTTTGGAATTCCATTCATTCATGGTTGCACCCTTCTCCCCGCCTACCCAGGCTATACATTTTTATAGGAGGAGATGACCCATCTTTCTCCCTTGAAGCAGCTGGTGGATTTGAACCACTGACTTTTGGTTAGCATGTCAACATGTAATACACTATTCTACCAGAGCTCCTCTAGTTGTGCTAGAAATTGTTATTTGTTTTGACTGGGCAACCTTTGAATGTGTCCTAAGAGGAGAACTGTTAGATTTTCAGTGTATAATTTTAATATAAAACAAAACTATAGACTGAGACTTCACCATCAGGAAGCTGACATTCCGCTGGATGTCCCAGGCCAGATTCAAGGAAGGACCAGGATCAAGGAAAGCAAAGGGTGGAGTGATGGTCATTTATTGGAGGGGAGGAGCGTCCAAGAATGAAGTAAAGAGCAGGAGAAAGCTTTTCTAAATGACATGAGGATGGGAGGGGCACTTTTCCTCATGCACATGATAGTTCTAAGTAGAATAAACTGCATCCACAGCCGCCTCAGCTGTCTTGACCGCCTGTTAGGGAGGAGTCCTGCTGGCTCCGGCCCCGACTCTGCAGGAGCAGTGCACAGGTGGACTGTGGTGTCCGAGTCTTGTTGTGTAGGCTATTTCTTCTGCTCTCAGTTAGAAACAAGACCCTTTTTTCCACCAACCTCCCTCCCTCCCTCCCTCCCTTCCCAGTCTCTGCAACAAAGGACAGGAGAGGCAGAGCAGATAAACAGAGGACATATTTATAACAAAACACCCTCGCTCCAGTGGACATATCTTTAGGGATCATGAATATTTTACTTTAAAATGAAAGTGGCTAAAAAGATTATATTCTTCTTGAAAAAAAGCTAAGGAGGTGGGGGGGGGGGAAAGGTTGACAGTAATGGACAACTTTAATACTGCGGTAATGTCCAGGAAGAAATCATTTGTTCCAATGAGATTCTCATTTTAATCTTGGTATCAAATATCTCTGTAAGTGCCTCCTCACCAGGGGACAAGAGAGAGGAGAGAAAATGTGCCTGCCATTTGCAGAGCATGGCTACATAACAACAACAATAATAACAATTGCTGATGTACTTAGCATTTCTTTTTTATGGATTTTTTCCTGATTATAAAAGAGAGAGTTTGTGGTGCTTAGAGTAGGGAAATTAGAAAATGGAGATGAATATTAATCAGAAAATAAGAATCATTCATGTACCCGCTACCCGCAGTTAACCATTTGCTAGTATTTTGCTTTGCCTGCTGTTTTGTCTATAGCCATGTTTCCCAAAACGTATGCTATAGAAGCCAAGATTGAGTGGATCCTCTGTATAACAAGTGGGCCCGTGCCCAAGAAGGAGTCCTAGTGGTGGAAAGGGTCCATGTTTGGCTGCTAACTAAAAGGCTGCTGGTTCAACCCCTCTCTGTGACTCAGGGAGAAAGGCCTGCTGGTCTGCTTCTGTTACAGTTCTAGCCAAGAAAACTATACTGAGCAGTTCTGCTTTGTCACATGAGGTCTCTCAAAGTCAAAATTGACTCAGTGACATTTAACAACATAGTCAAAGAGGCTGCTGTCCACTATACCGTCATGCAACTTTAAGTACATATTAACTTATTTAAGGTGCTGAGAAAGTGTATCTTCCCCCCCCAAAAAAGAAATCACACTTTGTTTTGCCCATGTTTTCCAGTCTTACGTGAAATGGGACCTTTTTGTATATGTGCATGTTTTGCATGCTACCTAGGAGCATTCCGTGTTACCAGACAGGGAAACAATGATCCCCACTGCAGATCAGCATACCCTGAAAGGGCTGGATGATAAATGTGCTAGGCACTGCAGAGGCGAAGGGCTCTGCCTTCCATGCTCACCTGAGCCATCGTGGTACAGAAGCAGCTGGAAGCAATATGGAAATGCACAGAGTGTAGTTGACTGTTCTACACACACAGCGTTCCAGGCTACCAAAGTGCCTCTGCTTCTGTTATCTTCTTTGACTTGTACAGCATGTCCATGCCGTAAGGGAAGCATCAATATCTTACAGTATCAGAAGGGAAACTGAGGCATGTGGCTTGCCTCATAGCAAGTAACCACCCTGTAGCGTGATCGGGTGCAGATGATCCATAGATCTGCCCTGCGGTTGCTCCTATTTGCAGGGTGAAAGGCCCTTCTTTGCAAAGTGTTGAAGACAGAAATAAAGCAGGGTTGGGACTGAGATCACAGGCCTGGTTGGGACTGGGGCCTAGATAAAATTGTCAGACCCAGTGAGAGGCTATATCTTAAGTCTAAACCCCCACTGCCCTAATGCCATGTCCTTTTCACAGAACCCAGAGCTGTGGGGGTGGGGTTGTAACAATCGACTTCTAACTGATGGGATCTGTTTCCTCCCTCAGGGGACATCAGGTACGATGAGGCCATGGGTTACCCCATGGTGCAGCAGTGGCGGGTCCGGAGCAACCTATACCGAGTGAAGCTCAGCACAATCACCCTCTCAGCAGGTGAGGACCTCAGGTTGGGCCGCTGGAGAACTCGGTGTTAATCAGCATGGGTTCCTGAGGGCCTTGTGTGTGCCAGCCGTCCCTGCCATCAAACAGCTCAAGGAAGGCAAGCGGGAAAGCAAAGAGAGTTGTGTTGCGGCTCTAGAAACAGGAGCACTAGGGGTAATGTGGTAATGAGGCGATGAGAGAGGCTTCCTGGGCCAAGTGCAGGGGCAGATGGAGGAGAGCACCCTGGAAGGGTGCACCGAGGGTGCAGGTGGAGGAGGAAAAGAGCAGGGGAAAATGAAGTCTAAGTCACATTTCCATTCTTAATGTATTTTAAGATCGTGACTTTTAAGTTCCTCTCAGGAACCAATTCTGTTCTCTTCTGGAAGGTTTCTTTTCTGTTGCCTCTCCTATGTAACAATCACAGACACCACGCCCACATGCACTGCCTACATTTTACCCACGTAGGACCCAGGCTCCCGCTGCTGGGGACGGGCTGTGCCTCTTGAGATGGGGCACATCCTTGTGTGTCTTTGTAACTTTGTACGTGTGGTTCCCTCTACCTAGACCTCTTTGCACAGGAACGGTCTCCACGGTACCCTGTGACACTGACCCAGTTCCTAACCCCCCTCAGGAAGATGACTCGAGTCATTCCCACTGTGCTGGTTTCCTCAGTGAAAGCACTGGCAGGTGTGGGTGCCTGTCTCCACCACCAACCTGAGAACTGTGATGAAGTCTTGGGTCTTGTTTATTTCTGTATCTTTTATCCCTAAAAGCCAGCAGAGCATTCACATATTATTGATGCTCACCTTTGATGAAGGACTAAATAAACAAGTAAATGGAATATGAAAAACCGGGACAGAAGGAATAAATGACTCCAGGAATGAAGTCTAGCCAAGGGCTTTCCACCCGCCCCCTCTCTCACAACATTTGCCTGAGTTTGTTTGCTGAGTGTCCCCTAATTATTCACACATTCTTTTTCTCGTTTTTCAAACCCATTTTGTACAATCAACAAAATGGAGCCCTTTGAGCCTGGTAATTGGGAGACTTAACCTCCTGGGATGGAAAAATAGTAATTATTGTTTGACACCTGCCAAGAACTTTATAATGTTTTCTGTGTATGTCACGAGACCCTTGTGAGGAAGGTATTATTTACCCTCATTTTTCTTCAGATAAGGAAACTGAGGGTCAGAGAATGTAAGCAACTTGTCCAAGGTCACACAGCCAGTAAATGGCAGAAGAGCCGGCATGGAGCAGGGATCGGATTAACTTTTGTCTGTGTGGGTAGAGTCACAGGGCATCTCCATGATATTGTTATTTATTGCTTAACAGAAACCCTCTTATTATTAACACTGCTGTATTAATTATCCGTGGCATGACTTAAACGGGTTGATGGAGGGAGGTTGTTCTAATCAAACACCCATTCTCTGAGCCTCGTCTCTGTTTTGTCTACCACCTACTCACACTGTGCTTTGTGAGCAAGACTGTGATGTTCCTATTAGAACTACAAAGGTGAACCTGCTTTAATTAATCAATAATTACGCTCCTGAAAAACCCCTTGTAAATCAAGCACTGGCAAATTGGAGCTCGTTCTTAACGTTGGAGAGGTGCTTGCTCTTTCTATTTCACTTTGACCTGTCACAGCCTTGGTCGTTCTTGTAATCATCACGGCCAGTCAATGGCCTGCCATGTCTCCACCCCCACCCCCGAACTGTGCTCCGTGCTGGGCTGGGTGGAAAGGTGCAGGGAGGATTCTGGCTGATCAATAATCGAAGGGACTGGGGCCTCAGAGTTCAAAGGGGTGCATGGTGAAGATGTAGAGGGAAAGTGCTCCTGCCCACATGGTGTGAAAAACTACTGCCTGCAGAAGGGGTGACTTCCTGGGTCCTTGAAGCATGAGTGTGCCTCAGGGAGGAAGTGGGCACACAATTCAGACAGCAGCATGTGTGAGGAGGGTAGGGATGTCTGTATTAGGGGCATGGAGGATGTGAGTGAAGAAAGGGTGATAGAAATCAGAGATCACACTCATGAGAAATTAGGAAATGGATTTTCTTTAGTGTGAAAGCTTAGGGGGGGTTGGGAAATAAGTTCGAGGCCTTGATTGCCCAGATGAGGCCCTTGGGCCCAGGCAGGGAAGGGCCAGACAAATAGCTTTGTCTTTTTTTTTTTTCTATAATTATATTTTATTAATTTTCATAAACATTTACA